TTTGAACTATTACAGCAAGAACATTCAGCTCTTTATTCAAATCTTATAATACATAAAGCATTTTTAACAATGGCTATACATTTACATTTGATATTTCGATACAAATAATTTTAAAAATAATTCGAAAGTGCAATGTAATATAAATTGTAGGTGTAATCATAGACCTTATAATATGTCCATGGTGTAATGGACTGTGGTGTGATTCTGTTTTTTTAGACAGGCACCATGTTAGGTTCGGATGTGTGATTGTTGTCTGTGTCAACCAAGTTACATGTCGTGTCAAACTATTAACCTATCAAATATCAGTTTACATGTTGTAATGTCGACAGGAGACACAATAGGCAATATTTATCAATGTGCTTTTATTTCATATTTTTAATGCATATTGGACTGGAGTTTTATTTTGAATGGGGTGTTATTTTATTTCAACTGAATGAGTTGGCACCCAGTGAATACATTGGAGCAGTCAGATCTTATTATTAAAGTGTTGACCCATCGCTTGTCCTGCTATCACCCGACCTTTTGTCTACTATTGAAGTCTGTCACTTGACCTGTGGTCTGCTAACCCTAGACCTAGGTGTACTATTGAAGGCTACCACTTGACCTGTGGTCTGCTATTGAAGTCTACCACTCGACCTGTGGTCTACTATTGAAGTCTACCACTTGACCTGTGGTCTGTTATTGAAGTCACCTCTCAACCGGTAGTCTACTATTGAAATCTACCACTCGACTGGTGGTCTGCTATTGAAGTCACCACTCGACCGGTGGTCTGCTATTGAAGTCTACCACTTTGTTCTGATAGCATTCTGGCTGAGTTATATGAAAAAGTCTGAAAAAACATGAATATAAGTTCAAATAAGTTCAAATGAACAAGGTCTTGTTGTCTGGCTAATAAATATAACAATAAATCATACAAGAACAATGCTCAAAGCAGCTAGATGTACTGGTACCATAGAACAGTTAAATACTCTGCTCAGAGCAGCTAGTTGACTGGTACCACGGAACAGTTAGATGCTCTGCTCAGAACAGCTAGATGTACTGGTACCACAGAACAGTTAAATACTCTGCTCAGAGCAGGAAAATGTAATGGTAACACAGATACCCATTTTCTGAGCAAATAATAATTAACATAGATAGCATCATTAGATACCCATTCTCAGAGCGAATGATAATTAACATAGCACCATTAGATTCAAGTAATTATTTCAAGACCTTTTATCACATTTTATGAGTTCTCCCACATCTGGATGATAAATTTCGATTGTAATTTCGTGTTGAAACAGAGAAAACCTGAAAATTATTTATTGAAAACCAAAAATAGTCTTGTCTTTAATTGAGGATGTGGGACCATGCGAGTTACACCTGTCGAGTTGTTTTCCCAGTGAAGATATTATATTGCCTGAAATATATAGTCTCAGATGGATGGCTTCCTGATTCTCGTCATTTGATAGGCGTGAACAAATTAATGTGTCTGGTAAGATGTGACTAGTTAATATAACTTGATTACCAAGACTGTTTATCTTATACTATTTTTTCCACTATGATATAAAACTGGAATATTGCCCAATATCATTTTTAAACAATTATCTCTCTCTCTCTCTCTCTCTCTCTCTCTCTCTCTCTTCAAGGGAGGGCTTTTTACAATCTTTGTTGGTATACATCTGAAAGCATTCGTGACTGTTGGAATTCAAGAGTTGGCAGAACGTCATTGTCCAGGCAAAACTTCTTGAATAGAACATATACCCAAGGACTTCATTTATGTAGTTGGTGTTGATGACTTAATTAACACGGTTGACACCCGACGACTTCAGTAACACGGTTTGGGATCGAGGACTTCATTAACACGGTTGGTGTCGATGACTTCATTAACACGGTTGGTGCCAGCAATTTCATTAACAGGGTTAATGTTGATGACTTCATTAACACGGTTGGTGCCACCGATTTCATTAACACGGTTAGTGTTGACGACTTCATTAACACGGTTGGTGCCAGCAATTTCATTAACAGGGTTAATGTTGATGACTTCATTAACACGGTTGGTGCCGCCGATTTCATTAACACGGTTAGTGTTGACGACTTCATTAACACGGTTGGTGCCGGTGATTTCATTAACACAGTTAGTGTTGATGACTTCATTAACACGGTTGGTGCCGGCGATTTCATTAACATGGTTAGTGTCGATTACTTCATTAACACGGTTGGTGCCGTCGATTTCATTAACACGGTTAGTGTTGATGACTTCATTAACACGGTTGGTGCCCAACAACTTCATTAACACGTTTAGTGTCGGCGATTTCATTAACATGGTTAGTGTTGACGACTTCATTAACACGGTTGGTGCCCATTGACTTCATTAACACGGACGTCTTCATTAAAACAGTTCCTCCCAGAGGACTACATTAACCTGGTTGGTGCCAGTGGGCTTCATTAACTCGGTTGGTGCCAGATGTCTTCATTAACACAGTTCATACCAGAGGACTTCATTAACACAATTGGTGCCCGAGGACTTCATTAACTCGGTTGGTGTCAGAGGACATCATTAACACAATTGGTGCCCGAGGACTTCATTAACTCGGTGGGTGTCCAAGGACTTCATTGACCCAGTTGGTGTCCGATGATTTCATTAACACGGTTGGTACCCGAGGACTTCATTGACATTGTTTGTGCCCAACAACTTCATTGACATGGTTGGCACAGGAAAGTAGAACTTTTTTTTGAAATTCTACAGAATTTGAACACAGCAATATTTAAAATGATTGCATGCAGTTCTGAAGATTAATAAAACCTATCATGATTGGTGACCTGAAAATTGTTTAGATTTTATTTCAGCCTCAAAACACTATGTTTTGATGGATTTTATAAGGGGGTGGATGGGGGATAATTGCTCCTGATCCATTTTTTCTGTTCGGAATTCATATATTTGTATGTTTTGCTCGGTGATTTATCGTCATTTCATCAGATCTGTCCAGGGTTGATGTAGTGGAAGAAATGATGTTAGTCGTTGCATTCTCTTTTACCAGAAAACGCTGCTGTAATATGGTGATCAACGCATGCACATCATATCAGGTCACAGAAGGCGTGGCAAAAATATTGATAAATGTCGATCGATAGAAAGTGCGACAAAGGAATACGGCCGTCATAAATCTTGATAGCGACTAACAAATGTTTATTAGGGACGTAAAACATATATCATTGCTAAAACCAGAAAAACAAGGGACTAAATACGTAGAAAATGCGTAGTTACAAATTCAACAGCTTCTGAATTTTAAAAGCTAAAAATAAGATACATGTTGGGGAAGTGGGGCAGGTGTGACCTAGGATATACGTCATGGAAAAACACTGAACTTATGAAATCAAACACCAAAATAAACAAATAATAATTTTTAAGACGCATTATGTATGATTTAGATAAAGTGCTGGTTGTTCTTGCAAAAATAGTTCAAAAATAGGCAATGCCAAATGTATATATTGAAAATTTCATTCAAATTTGTTTATTCTGAGTAAAGTTACCACTGTTTGAAGTTAACAAGATATGGCTGAGATTGTTTATTGATTGTAACAACGCCCCTGGTTTTTCGAGGTGTTCTAATCTACGTAAAATCAGAGCTTTCCGATGGCCCAGAGAGTTGATTATGGGCTTGTCACGTTAATAAATGTCTAATAGTAAGTGCAGGGGGACTGCACCACACAAAATTTACACAAAAACAAATACACAGACAGGACATCATACTAAGGAAAACACAAACATACAGACAATTAAAAAAAAAATGAATGGATCCGGGGGCTAGCCGTAAGCATCCACTGCGCTGTACAGTCCAGTGTCTGTAGTGACACAGACTTCACTCAAATTTGAAAACAATTAGGAATACAACCCAATATAACATTTGAAGCCAAATAAAAACCTGCACTCGACAGATTTAACTCTTAGATAATGCAGCTTTAGTTCAACTTGTCTAAAATTTTAGATCATGATAGATTGGGGAAAATATCCCCACCAATAAATTGTGGAACAGGATTATCTTGTTTAAAATTTCAAACCCTTTGCTTTGAATTAATTAACATTAGTTTTTATATGCCCACATGGAAATGTGGTTGTATATTGCTGTCGCCCCCGTCCGTCTGTCCGTCCGTCCATCTGTCCGTCCGTCGACCACACTTTCTTGTCTACACTCTACAGACTACATTTGATCGTTTCTTCTAGAGTTATGGCCCGTATTTTACTTTGATCTGTATGAAATTTATATGCATCCTTTAAATTAGTGAAACAAAAAACCCTTTTGAATTTCAGTCATCCGTTTATTGGTTCTAGAGTTATGGCCCTTGTTTCACTTTGTTGAACCTTGTGAAAGTTCGAAGGACAAAACTTATCATTTGATCTGTATTATATTTATATTCATCCTTTAAATTAAAGCCTCCCATAGATTTGTTGACCAATCAAGAATTGGCACAGACTGATTTTCACCAATCAAGAATTGGCACAGACTGATTTCGATGAAACGAAAAATGCCATAGACTGATGTTATAATCAAAAAATGAATCATTTGAGTTGCCTCGAGCCAGTGATTTTATTTTCATAGTGGAAGTGGTCGCTAAAAAATGTTATTTCCCACACACTGTTGCCCCGTCTTTCTGATTTTTAAAATTTATGTTTTATGTGATATCCTATCTTCATTAGGAGTGTGTGTGCTGTATCATAAGGTCTGTCATTGAGTCAACTGGCGTGGTCTGGATTCCCCAGTTGTACGTGACATGGAGTAGGGTCACCTGTCCAACCTCGTGCGTTTTTTCTGGGTCCTCCGGTTTCCTGCCACTGCTAAAGACCCCAATGTGTAAGCAAATTTTTTAAATAAAATTGAACCATGTGTTATTCCCGAAATGACCTAGTTTGTGTTGAGTGGACGTTAAACCCTATTTCTCTCTCCCTCTCTCCTACCTTCATTAACCTGGTGAGTGTAGAACAGTACAACGTTGGTAACTCCATCTTCATTTTTATATTTCAGGACCGCATATTCAGAAATGTTGGTGTTTTTCCACTGCAAGCTGTCGTTTCAAACCAGTATGGGAAGAGGGATAAAACAATTACTGTGGTACGATTTTTAAAATTTTTACCAATTTATTGTTTTTGTTTAAATAAAAACAAGAGAGCTTAATGAATAATATATTTTTGAAATATTTTATATTGGAATTACATTAGGAAGAAATTCTTGGAACTTTAAAAGAAAATTACATTGAAAATTAGAATTCTATAGTTATTGAAAATTAAAATTTTATAATTATTGAAAATTAGCATTTTATACATATTTAAAATAAGAATTTTATACATATTGAAATTTTACGAGTAGATATTAAAAATTAAAATTTTCTAGACATTCAAAATTAAAATTTTATAGACATTCAAAATTAGAATTTTACGAGTAGATATTAAAAATTAAAATTTTCTAGACATTCAAAATTAAAATTTTATAGACATTCAAAATTAGAATTTTATACACATTGAAAATTAGAATTTTGTACACATTGAAAATGAGAATTTTTTAGACATTTAAAATTAGAGTTTTATAGACCTTTAAAATTAGAATTTTGTACACATTGAAAATTCAAATTTTATAGTTATTGAAAATTCGAATTTTATAGAGATATTTAAAATTAGAATTTTATAGATAATGAAAATTAGCATTTTACAAGTAGATATTGAAAATTAGAATTTTATAGACATTAAAAATTAGAATTTTATAGACATTAAAAATTAGAATTTTATATACATTAAATATTAGAATTTTATTCACATTGAACATTATTATTCAAAATTAAAATTGCTTTAACAGGTTGTCATGGAAGCCTATCTTGGACAAGTCTCTTTCATGTTGGAGGAAGGAACAGATGTTTTTGAAACTGGATCGTCGATTCGTTTTATTGTATCCTTGGAAACAACGTTACGCCAGACCACAGTTATGCAAATTGATTTTGGGAATGGTGACGTGAGAAACGTATCGTTAAAGGAACATGACGAGGATCAAACCTCCAATCATCTTGACTCCCTGTCGTTGATTACTAGTTATGGGGAAGGATGTAATTTGACCGTCGAGTTTCAGTACACGTACCAGTACCAGGGTGTTTACAGATCATCAGTGATATTTAACGACATGCCCGAATCTCTCGTAGATTTACGACAGCAGGTGACAATTCTGGACAGATTAGCTGGACCGAAGATTCGTGCTCCTAAAACAACTGCTGTTAACAACAGCACAGAATTCAGCATCCATTTTGTAAAAAGTTCTTTTAACTTGTCAGTACTATGGACCATTGGGTTGTCAAATGGAAAGATACTGGATCGATTTGAATCAACGCTTCCGAAAATGTCTTACACTTTTATAACAGAAGGGACTTACGTCCTGAACGCTAGCATCACGAATACAATAAACACGGTGTATGCGTCTGCTAACATCCTGGTCCAGACGCCAATCAGTGACATCACAATGGATTGTGAACCAAAAGATTTTATTGACATATCTTCGGAAGTTTTTTGTTATGCGACAATCATTCACGGGAGCAGTGCATCGTTTGCTTGGGATTTTAAGGACCGGAATCGAAGACCGTCTGTAGATGATGCAATCTTGGGATCACGAGCAAGGCATATGTTTAGTGAACCTGGTGAATACGAGGTACAAGTGACGGCCACGAATTCTCTTAATTCTGTGAGAAAGATATTACCTGGAAACATTTTTGTGGAATATCCGATACAACAGGTTATGTTGATTGATGGATCCCCAACGGAACTCAGAAATGACACAGACTTTTTTGTTAAAACTAATATTAAGACAAATGTATTCTATGATTTTGATTTTGGAAATGGCAGAAGACAACCGGATGATATCGCACACACAGGTGATCGGGCAATGCATTATAGGTATATATTTAGTCAAGCAGGAAAATATCTGGTCCGTGTTTACGCATACAATAATATATCCGAGGTAAACAGTTCTGTGACAGTTTATATCGAAGAACCAATCAAGTTCCATAAAGCTGTGGTGCTGCCACCTGTGGTTACTCATCTTACTACAATCTTTATTCTTAATCTGAAAGGTAACCAACATTTATTTCATTATCTAATTAGTCAAATTTTGTTGTCAATTTTATTTTTTTGTGTACCTTGAATAAGAACACATATTTTATACTGATTTCATGGATTAATTGAATGCTTGTCTTGGTACAATTTTATTTCTAGAATTCGCTTGCTTGTAGGGTCTTTATTAACAGGGGGAGGAAATCAAAGGACCCAAAGAAAACTCAGTAGGTCAAGCAGGCTACCCTCTCCGGATTCCCTGGTTTCCTCCCACTGCTAAAGACCCCTACACGCAAGCGAATTATTGAAATAAGATTGAACATTAGTTTCGACCTGACCTTGTTTGTCGTGTGGATGTGAAACTCCATTTCTCTCTTTCTTTCTATATTAGAAGTGTTGGGGGTGAATAGATCAAACTGAATGCAATTTACAATTGAAATTTAAAAGACATGTTTTTTTTTGTTGTTTTTTTAGGACGTATATCAGGTAGAGAAGATCTTATCTATGAGTGGCAGGTCAATGACCTACAGTCGATATTTACAAAGTCACCTGTTCTTGAGATGAAATATACATTACCAGGGAAACATAATTTAAATTACACCATCAGAAATCAAGGTAAGTTACTCTGATATAACATGGCAGACGGTCCACACATATCTCTATTAGTGAAAATAATGTAGTATTTTAGCCAAGGTGTACTTACTCTTTCTAGTACACTGGATACCACTTAGTCGAGATATATAGTATTGATAGATGTTGTACATGGGGCAGGGTATGCTTTACTCTTTCTTGAACACTTGCTACTACTTAGCCTAGAAGTATAGTATTGATAGATGTTGTACATGATACAGGGTATGCTTTCTGTTTCTAGAATACCTGATACCACTTAGTCTAGATATATAGTATTGATCGATACAGTCTTTCATTTCACAGTTCCACACGTCATGATAAATGAAACAAATAAAATGATTGTTTCTACCAGACAGTAAATTTAACATGTTTATTGAAATGTAAGACATTAATCTATGTCTGGTAGGACCTGAACGCCATTTTTATTTCATTTCATTTGAATGAACAATATTTTCTGTTAATTCTCGGAGAGTGTAAAGGGCCATTTTAATCCATAATCTTCAGATTTCTATGTGAATGGAATTTCGAGATATATTGTCAGTACAAGTAGACCTATATATAATCATTAAGATTATTACAACTACAAGTAAATATTTAGGGGTGGAATGATTTTTATCTTTCTATACACGAAGTATTAACATTAAATCCTTCAAAAGTTAAAATTATAATGTGTACAGTCAATCAATATTGAATACATATTTTAACTTTTCAACTTGTCCCAAATGGCTAGAACTTAGAAATAAAGGCCTTTGGGGTGGGGTAGTGTACACGGTTTTGTTAATATTTTTTGGGCCCACAACATAATGTTAGGACCTACAACTTTTATGAATGGCGTCTACCAGCGGGTCCTATTGGTCTACAACTTTTCTTGATGAATTTTATACACTGGACAACTTGTAAATGATACAGGGTATGCTTTCTGTTTCTAGAAGACCTGATACCACTTAGTCTATATACATGTATGTATATATAGTATTGAAAGGTGTTGTACATGAGACAGGGTATGCTGACCTGATACTACTTCAACGAGCTCACAAATAAAACATTTGTTGAACTTTTATAATTGACCTAAAGATTGTTATTAGAGGTTAATGACATTAAGAGACACCCTGGTCCCAGGAACTCAATTTTGAGGCTGTGAAAGCAGACAAAGCATTAATAATGTACTAGAAATTGGATTTTTTAGACCAATAAATCAGAGTTATTCACGTGATCGACTGCATGTTTAACATAATCTGCAGGACAACACCATTTATGACATGTAATAGCAATAAAAGGAGAATTTAATAGTTAATTGTTTCAAGTAGGTCTTTTATAGTAAACACCAGAATCAAGTCATAAGGACAGCTGTTTAGTCGTTCAGATGGGATGAAAAAAATGAGGTCCTGTGTACACATTGGTGTGCACGTAAACGATCCCTTGGCAGTTGGAATTCGGTATAAGAGGCCATAGTGCCACTGCTTGGGCAAAATTTCTGCCATAGCACAAAGTATGGCACCATCTTCATTAGCCCAGTCGGAGCAGATCAGTAGGACATTAAACACCATTTAATTTCATTTTCATATATCTGACCTGGAAAACATTGTGGATTATTCTGATTGTGATTATGAGATAGATAGACTATGACCCAATATAAAAGTTAATAATGAATTAAACCTGACTATGTTAGTATAAGTGAGGGGGAGTGTATATAGGATGTTATTTAGTCTGGAGTTCTATATATAACTGATGATGTTAATCAGTAATTACCGGGTATTATTATAACCACAGTGTAATATGAGATACACACATATACTAATACACCACGCTCAACTTTTACATTTTTTATATATCAACCAGAGATCTCAAATTAAAAATAAACACAACAGTTCTATGGATAAGAATTACTGTATTTCTATTAAAGCTACGTTTCAACAATGATTCTCTTGTCGTTATCAAGCACAATACGACAAGAGAATCATTGTTGAAACGTAGCTTTAATAGAAATACAGTAATTCTTATCCATAGAACTGTTGTGTTTATTTTTAATGTGTTCAATTACTAAATGCCATTTAAACAGTGGATCTCAAATTTTTCAAGTATCAACTTTATTTCTGTCTTAGCTCCTCTTCTAAATTCCAGTTTCGTGAGTAGTTTAACCTTTACATTTTTTTTTTTTTAACACCTAAAATTACTGTGTGTTATTTGCATTTTTTGGAATATATTGAAGTTTCCATTGCTTACTCAACGCTAATATATGCTAAAATTGATTATTTAACATTTAATTAAAATGAAAATGTCAATGGTAGATACATTTGTAATCTCCAAGCTTGGATTTAATTGGAATAAAAAGAGGCCTATCAAAAGATAGTAGATAAGACAGGACTCTGGCTATTCACCGTTTATATCATTATGCATGTAAGACCGTTTATGTCATTATTAGATAACATGGGACTCTGACTATTCACTGTGATATCATGATAAGATAACATGGGACTCATGATAATATAACACGGGACTCTGGCTATTCACCGTTTATATCATAAGGATGCCAAATGTTGACCAACCTTTAATTTATCATGTTGCTATGGATCTTAGTCGTTCAGAGGGACGGAGAAAAAGAGGTCCTGGGTACACATTGGCGTGCACATAAAAGATCCCTTGACAGTTTGTATTGAAATATGAGTAGACCATACAAGTAGCTCCGCTGTCCAGGAAAAACTTCCCTCATATCACACTGTGTGGTGTATGCCTGTTTTCATTAGCCCAGTCGGTGCAGTACAGTTTGTCTTTAAAGCCCATTTCATTACCCCAATTGGAGTGGGACGTTAAACCCCATTTCATTTCATTTCTTTATGAGTAAAGACCCCTACGCGCAAGCGAATTATTGAAATAAAATTGAACCATGTGTTAGTCCCGAAATAATCTAGTTTGTGTCGATTGGATGTTAAACCCCATTTCTCTCTCTCTCTCCCTTTCTCATAAATCAAATCATATCCGATCTTAAACTGTTGCCTAAAAATCACTACATGTCTCCTACTCCTAAACAACGATTAGAAAAGCACAATTTCTTAAAGATACATTATGTTAAATTTAGATAAAGAACTTGCCGATCTTGCTATAAAAAGATGCAGTATGTAAGATTTAGATTAAGAGCTTGCCGATCCTGCTATAAAAGTTCAAAAATAGATACTGTAAAATGAATATATTTAAAATTTCATTCAAATTACTTTATTTTCGGGGCGAAGTTATGACTGTTTGACAATGTAGCGTAGATTATCATAGCAACTGTACTTGACATCCAAGACTAAGTCCTGATTATCCATTTTATTTTTAAATTTTTAAATCTCACGGGTGTTCATATCCATTTTAAATCTCGTGGGTGTTCAAATCCATTTTAAATCTCGCGGGTGTTCAAATCCATTTTAAATCTCGCAGGTTTTCAAATCCATTTTAAATGTCACGGGTGTTCAAGTCCATTTTAAATCTCGCGGGTGTTCAAATCCATTTTAAATCTCACGGGTGTTCAAATCCATTTTAAATCTCACGGGTGTTCAAATCCATTTTAAATCTCGGCCT